GATCCTCTATTTAAAATTAAATTTGCTGTGACTGCTTTTAGATAATTGTCTACAGAGTATTCAGAATCTGTGCCTGTAAATTCCATTAGTCGCTTATTTGATGATATTGATGATCCAGCCATTGGTTATGGATTCATAGTCATTTGTGAGGATTCTGCGGTGTGTGGCATTTGAGAAAAATTTGTTAGTTAGCTTTTTGTTATTTCGTGTTGTTGTAAATAATATGGTAGTGGGATTTCCTTATGCATCTGAGTTGGTTGAGATGAATGTGTATTAACTGGAATTTGCTGTTGAAAATGATGATTGTAAGGTGTTGGATTAGTTCTAGGTTGTCCTTTTTGTTCATTTCGTATGTGAGGTTCGAAAATATCTGGTTGATCAATACTGTAAGAACGAGGTCTTTGGTTTGAGGAAAATCGTTGATAATTCTGATTATAGTATTCATCATCGTCTGATGGAAAATAAGTTTGTGCATAATGATGAGGTTGATTTTTAGTATGGTATTTATTTGCATTGTTTTAAGTCACTTCATGCACTTTCTCATGCATTTTCAATGCGAGACGGTCAAACTTTTCATTACTCTACGTTTGAGTAACCAAAGTTTTTGTCACTTGTGTTCGGTTACGAAAACAACCAAAAAGTTTTTAGAATATAAACTGTACAAAATCAATATTTTTTGTTTATGAAAAAATACTTCTCATACGATTTCCATTTAAAAAAATCACTAATCATAGATCTTTCATGCAATTTTTTGTTCTGATGGAACTGCATGAAAAGTGTACGACTAGCTTTTTTCCATTTATGAAAATTGCAATACTAGCAGTTTTGGTCAACCCGGGTTTGGTCCTCTTTTGTTCTTTCATTACTTTTGATCGTTCCGACAAAATTTTAACATGTGGAAAGATTTGTCTCAGGAATCCAGTAACACACAAACACGAAATTGTGTGCCTATCGAGTGCAAATTTTTGCCACGTAATGATGTTGATAAAACGAATTTTTTTTGAATTCGGTTGAAGGGGTAGAGTCCAAAAAAACTGAAAAGAAAACATACATCAATGGTCGTGGACTTGTAGCAACTTGAAGTTGCACTGTGAAATACATCGAGAGCACAAACAAAACAAGAAAAAAATCTTTTGGCTCTTCGTTGAACAGTATTGCCAAATTTTTGGTTAAGTAGAACAGTTTTCAAAACTATCAGATACATTGATGTTCCATTGAACCTATTTTTTGACGCTTTCAGAAGAAGTGAACAATTGTTGGATATAAACATCTTTTATGTATGGGACAATTAAATTTTTTGAAAATAAGTGCGATGCCTTTCAACTGACTAATCCTGCCGCAACTGACTTTCATTACGAGGCCAAATTGTGCATTTTGTGCATTGATAGCGGATTCCGCAACAAGGACGCTCCCTTTGTTCTTCTTTTGTTCTTTACTTTCCTTTGATCGTTCCGACAAAATTTTAACAGGTTTAAAGACTTGTCTCTGGAATCCAGGAACACACCGACACAAATTTGTGCGCCTATCCAGTGCACAGTTTGGCCTCGTAATGTTCAGCTCAGAAACTTAACGAAGTCCCTCGAATTGATTCGAAAAGCAGTCAAAGTATTTGTATTACTCTGCTTATGTCTTCAGAAGGAGTAAAATCAAACAAAAAAAGAGGAAAAAGAGGAAAAAGAGGAAAAAGTATCCGATTCTTTTTTTTTCAAAAATTGAAAAACAGACTAAAGTATCTTAAAAAGAGACAAACTCTCGTTGTTATTTAACTAATATAGCAATATGCAAAAACAAAACACAAAGTAACATAAAACTCAATCAAATTATCCATTTCACGTTGTTTGCTTTTGCGAAATGAGGAAAACAGAAAAGGTAGTTAGAACACAGGCATCCGTATTAAATTTTCTTAATTGAAAATTATGAAAATCAGACGCGATATCCCCTTTATTTTGTTTGTTTTGTCAAATTATTTTGAAAAAAAAAGAAAAAATACCTGAAAAAAGTATCTGGATTATTTTTCTATTTTCAATAAATGTCGAAAGAACAGACAGCATAACTAAAAAAAAAACAGAAGAAAAGTTTTCATCGTTTTAACTTGCATGCAAAAATGTGAAACCAAAAAAGTTATTTAGTTGCACAAAACGAAAAAGTATCCGTATTTTTTGTCTGTTTTCTCAGATTGTGACAGAAAAATTATCTGAAAAGTTAAATAAAATATCCAATAGCATTGTCTGTTTTTCCAAAATGTGAAAAAACAACAAGTTATCAGATAAAAACGGACAACCTATTATTTTTAAGTTGTTGCAAAACATGAAAAAACATACAAATAATTTAGAACCTGTTTTACTTCGTCTGTTTTTGGAACATAAAAAGTCAAAAATTATTAGCAAAAACAGACAAAATATAGACATTTGTTTGTCTGTTTTTGCAACTTATAAGAACGGGAGTATAAATTCGATTTCCTGGTGTACTTTTTTGAAAGTAGAAAGTTAAGACAAAATAAAAACAGACAAAATTTCTCTGTTTTTGCAAAAAATGAAAACAGACAAAATTTTTAGAAAACAGCAAAATCTTCGGATTACCTTTTCTCTGTTTTTGCAGTTTTTGAAAAACAGACGCAATATAATTTTGTTTTGTTTTTTCAAATTATAAAAAACAGACACAATATCTGGAAAAAATCTGGACGATATCTCCTTTTTCTTTAAACATGATAAAAACAGCCAATATATCTGGAAAAACATGAACAATTCGTATCGCTTTGTCTAGTTTGGCAAAATGAAAAATAGAAAGAGATAATTTTATGCACAAACAGACAAAATAACCGTATTCTTTTGTCTGTTTTATCAAAATGTGGAAAAAAATCGATGAAAAACAAATCATTTTAAAATACGTGCGATGTGTTTAGTTTCTACGCTAAAAAATTTTAGCGTGCTATATTCAATAACATCAAAATTTCCAGTTGAGAGTTTCCAAAATTTGAAGTCTTAAGTTCAATTAAATCATGACTCTGAGCAGTTTTTTCTGATGCATAGAACCAGAAAACCCGAATGATTGATCCAATGGTTTGTTTTGGGATTTTTTTTAAAGTTAAAACTTTTATCAAGATTTGCTAGGTTGATTTCTATCACTTTTATTTATGTACTGGCCTAATTGTTGTTCCGAGCATTTGAAAAATGTGGAAGAATTTTGTAGTAGGGTATTTTAGTTTTTTCTTTTTGTTTACGCAAAATCAGATACCACAAACAAATATTACAAAGGGTCATTTGACATACCAAATCGAAGTTTTTCGGTCGTAATTTGGTTTAACGAGACAAACTGGATTAAAATTTTTGGTTGTTATTTCAATTTTGAGGGAATAAAGCGAGCGAATTGGTTTACACAAAGGTCGAGAAGAATTTTAAAACAGCAATGAAACAGTTTGCGAACAGTCTAATGATGCTTAATTTAAGCCCTGAACAAAAATTTAAGCACGTATATTAGTTTCTTTTGATTTCTTAGCGACATTTTGGTGACTAAAAACTTCAAAAAAAGAAACCGAAATATGGGATTTCTTTTGTTGTTTTAGCCATTTTTCTACAATTTTTTTGTCCAAATTGCTTATATTACTAAAACTGTCGGAAATTCCTTTATTCTAGTTCCTACGTCAGATCTTTTCATCATACAACGTAGAAAAAGCACTACATTTAAAAAAATTTGCAGGATTTTTAAAGACTATGGTCGGAACATTCTGTGCTACTGGTTTTCTTGTTTGTTTATTTGTTTTTTTTTTGTTTCTACATTGTTGCAACGATGAAATTAATTCAAGCAGTTATTTTCAGTTATCATGTTTGTGTTTACAAACAGCCAGAATTTGTCTGCCAGACGAAATGGTTGTTTTGGAACGGTAGTCATAAGGGCTTGATGGCAAATTACGGGCAAGCTTCAAGCTTAACAAATGTAGAAAAGATCACTTGGAAGAGGATAACCCCTTTAAAAATCTTCACTGCAATATAATCAAATCTTGTCATTTCCTTTTCAAGTGCTTTCTTTGATTTTTTCAGCACAAAACAATCTTCTCTGTCAAAAACAGAAATTGATTTTAAGTGAAATTCAAACAACATCGCCAAACATTTTTTTCTCAAGCTAATATAACATTTGACTCGGGTCGAACTCTCAGATTTATTTTTTTTTCAAATTTTCACTCAACTTACCGGAATTATCGTCAAGAAAAATACCAAAAAAAAAGAAAAAATATCAAAGTCAGTTCCATTTTCCAGAATAACTGTCTCAGATTTCTTACATGAAACTGCAAATTTTGTTCACATCGATTTATGGCTGGAGGCCATTTCTATTTCCTTTGTTTAACCTTTCCCTTGGTAGACGAATTAACATATACCATTCCTTTCATCATGGGGAACAATCCATTCTTCGGTGGAGGAGCATTGATTCGGTCTGATGGTAATGGTAAGAATAGTAATGGTACCTTGTAGAAGAATTGTTATATAAAAAAGTATACGTTCACAAAACCGAAAGATACATAGACCGAAAAGTTCAAAATTAGCTTTTTGAGAGCCTATGCAGTTTCAGGTTTTTGCGTTTTTGATGCTACCTGAAATTTTATATAGACCAATTTTAGATTCCCCGCATTGCAAAAAATGGGGATTTCGTTACAAGGTGCAAAAATAGCATAGGTTTAACTGGTGAATTGAATCGTTAAAGGGCTGGAGTTTCTTTACTATAGTTACATTAGAATGGTTACTTTATAAGATCCTGACTTTTTTTTCAATGGAGTTAGTTGAGTTCACCAAATTTTTTCATTTACCTGAAATGCCATCTTTTGCATTGTATTTTGTGACTCTATTTGGTGCGTTAACCTTCGTTGCACCTTCATCGTCATTATATACCATGTTCGAGTTTTTTTCACGCGTCTTCCTTTTTTAATGTTGCCTCCTCCAACGAGTAATACATTTTATATATACCTTTTCTTTATATTATTCACTGTAGGAAATATATTTTATGGGTATTTGAGCGGCTTCTTACGTGCCATATAACGATCGATAAAAAATTCCTTCGCTTTTCATACCAACTGCGTTTTCCATAGACATTTACATATCGATGCAGATGTGTTTAAAGATGAATTTATAATCAGATGACGTTTTTTAAAATTGAGGCTATAGAAATAAAATCGAAGGAAATTCTTAGCATTCTGATTGTCATAATTAATTGTTTATCGTCAAAAAAGTGTTTATTGTCTTCCAAAAGTATAGAAAGAATCTGACATTGATGAAATGGTTAATTGACTGCTATTTCTATTGTTAAATTTGTTTTGTCACTTTATTGTCGAACTATAACAGAAAACAATCTACAATAATCAATCTACAAGAAAAACAGAAAGCTAAAATCTTTCAGACAACCCATTACCAGGTAATTTAACATTTTCTATCTCCAAAAAAACACGCATGTAAAGTTGGCAACAGATACACCGTCAATTTTTCTGGCAAAATAGGCGAAAAATTGCAAGTTTACCCTTGTTTTCAAGTAAGTTTAAGTAGTCAATTGAACTTTTTAATAACTACTCCGTTTTTTGTTTTGTTAGAACAAAATATAGAAACAACTTTGCAGCCAGTGAGTTGTAACTGAATCTAAAAAAAATTGTATGGATTGCAAGATCTTGCTTAAATCTTGCAAATAGAAGGCACATCTTGCAAGAATCTTGCAAAGCGAATGCAAATCTTGCCAGAAAAATTCAGGATTTTTGAATTATATCGCAAATTTTCTTGCAAGTTATCTTTTAAGATTTGCTTTCCAAGAACACTGAAGTACTTAGAGGCTTCATTTTTTCATTTAATTTCTTTAAAGAAAATTTTTAACTCAGCTCATGAAGTTTTTTATATAACCTCATTTTCTTCAAGTTTGTTTAAATTTAATTTGATTTAGTTTTTGGGTACTTTTTGCTTAAAACATTAATGCTGATTGGTATCAATGCAAAAAGTTTTCAATTTTTTTGAAAACATCTTAAGCGACCTCGAAAAATTCTGCAGAGAGTTCAATAGTTCAATAGAGAGTTCAATAGAGAGTTCAATACGCTTTATCAACCGAACCCGCAACATATTCAATTGTCGTTCCTCAATTTAGGGTTAACCAAATTTCAGACTCCCCTCATTGCGCGACCGTATCAATATCAACAAAAACTATGGCCATCAACTAAAAACACAGTTTTTGTGTTTCTGTAAATTCAAAAAAAAAATTGAATCAACCGTACCATATCTGCCCCCCTTAATTGATCTACCGTAGAATTTCTTCCCCTAACATTTAATAGTTCTGAAATTTACCTCTGCTTAAAAATACATTTCATACAAATACTGAGAATGAAATTTCATTTAAAATTTTACCCATATTATCTTTGCAACAAAACATTTAAATTTTTTTTTATGCTTCGATGAAATATGCTATGTAGGCGATAAAACATTCTCTACAAAATTACCGTATGAAAAATTCATGTTTTACCCCCTAACTTGTTTTTGGGGGAAATTTCACGGTTGATTCAGACAACTTTTATTGCTTTTTAAATTCTTCTCAACATTTGCTTTAAATATTTTTTTTCGTTGAAAAAACACTTGCATTTCATAATCACTAAAACGTACTCAAAAATTTATACAGCGTGTGGATGTCAATATTTAATTTTATCTGTTTATATGCAGTTTAAAAGAATTTCCTATGCCGCCTCCTATATCCCAAAGCTTAACAGCTAACCGCAAGAAACTTTTTTACCGAAAATAGAAAAATCATTTCTTCGAAAAACTTATAAAAAATCAATTCACAAAAATTGTTTGCTGTTTGTGCGATTAACGTTTCAGCGGGTTGAGCTCCAAATAAAAAAGGAAACAAAAACTATCGATTGTATTCAATAAGGATAAAAGATAATATGATTAAAACAAAACGTTTTTTTTATTTTTAATAGCAAATTATTATCTTCTCTGATCGATAAAGTAAGACCAATAGCAAAAACTATCTTAAAAAAATGATTGACCTTTAAAGGAGATTTTTAATTTATTTTAAGGCATTTGTTGTCTTAGAGTGGGATAAGACTGTCGATTCTTGATGTTAGTCTAAAAGAGGCACCATGTAACCTTAAAAAAAATTCAAGTAAACGATATGCGTAGATCATCCGTATTACAGTGCTGATTTAAATTAACCTGACAAAACGGTTAAAAGGATTTTTTTTTCAATTTCAATTTGGGCTAAGCCGCATTCAGTTTAATAATCGATTATATTACAATTTTAGTACCAGTCCTACTAAGATTGAGATCGAATCGATTTTAATTAATTAATCATCGATTATTATCTCTCTTTTTTTAAAAACTCAAATTATAATTAATTATAATCCACTTTTTTAAAAAAATTTCTAATTCATTAGTTGTGCACAAAAATCCATTATAATCGATTATAATTGATTATAATCCTTTTTGATTGTCCATTTTGTCTTCGAAATTGTATCTAATTTGCTAATACTTTATGCATTTTGTAGACGTTGGTTCCTATGAAAATGAGAAAAATGTTTTTATAAAGTTTTCCAAGCAGTTCAATTTTATAAGGTTCTTTATTCATTTCTTCACCATTAGAGTTGTTTAGTGATGCATAGTTTAAGCTTTTTTAACCACCAAAACATCAGCAAGTTGATTTAATTTCATGATTAGTTCAGAAGAATTGTTTTTCATCTACCGCGGGAACCTTTCCACTAATATGAAAGGATCTCTATGAAACTTTTGTGTCGTGGTAGAACTTTGTGTTCAGATGAACCAAAGTCTTCAAGGTATCTCTCTTTTAGAGATTTTCTCATTGACACAAAATTATTAACCCATTAGATGTAATTCAAATGTAGCTTTGAATTGACAAAAAATGGCAAAATAGGAAATTATAATCAATTATAATTGATTTTAGGAAATTTTTCCAAGAACTATAATCATTTATAATCGATTATAGGAGATTATAGTCTCTTGGAAAATCTCACAATTAAAATCAATTAAAAATCCTTTTAACACCAAATTTGGTAATTATAATCAATTATAATTGTGAAAATATCATCATAATAGTCCGTTATAACCGATTACTTACGCCTAAACTTGGATGCGGGGTTGGATAAAAATTAAACTAGATCAGAACGAAAGCAGACTAGCATTCGGTACGTGCACTAAACAGAATACTACACACTCCAAAATAGTCGTCCCGAGTTTGCACATTTCCGTGTACTTCATAGACAAAATTCCATAATTACTTCAAAACTAATAGTAAACAACACAGCTCGTATATCATGGCAAAACCCTGAATGTTTCGAATGCACTTCAAGGTCAATTTAAAAGTTTTTTTTTGCTGAAAAATTGACGTCATAATCGAAAAAAGAGAATTAAAAGGCCGCTTACGCGTGTTAGAAAATATCTCCCGTGTTATATATATCTCCCGTTAATTATTCAGAGAAGGTGAAATTAGCAGCTTTCAAACCCCAAAAAATTTACAAAAAAATGATTACAATTGACGTATCTTTTTAAAATTGAGCTTTGAGCTCAACAAAAAGAGTCTTTCAGACGGTATAAAAAATTTTCGTCAAAAATGTTTAGTTTAAAAGTCGGAAATTGCCTGCATAAAAAAAACCCAAGTATCAAAAATCTGCTCCTTCTTCGAAAATCAGGACAAAAAAGTGGACACAGCCAGATTCTGCGAAAAAACAGCCTCGAAAACTTAGTGCCCTCTAAAGATGAAAATTTAAAGCAGATAAAAACAAGACTCTAAATTGGTCGCGAGAAAAAAAAATTGAAAATTTACAAATTGTGAGCCATATAAAATCAAAATGTAAAAAAAATGAGTCATACGAAATTAATACGACCGATTAGCTAGCCTCAATTGTTGAATTTGAAACAATTTTTGAGTGGGATATTTTCCACGCATAAATAATCAGCGCTACGCTTTCAGCGGCATGAATATAATCTTCGAAGTGCGCATAATTCAGTCCAGAGCTCGGCCAAATTAGCTATTTTCATCCACCCAAAATTTTGCGAAAAAAGAATCAAAGAAAAAATATCTTTCTACATTTTGATTCAAGGATTGGATGTTTTCAATGATGATCATTTTTTTGATACAAACTTCTTCTTCGACCGCCAAAAAATGACTGAATAAAAAACCACAAATTGGTCCCATACAAATTGTCGCTTACAAATTGTGAACAATACAATATTTAAAAATATTGAGTCCTACGAAACTATTACGACCGATTGGCGAGCCTCAATTGTTGAATTTGAAACAATTTTTGAGTGGGATATTTTCCACGCATCAATAAATAGTGCTACGCTTTCAGCAGCATGAATATAATCTTCTAAGTGTGCATAATTTAGTCCAGAGCTCGGCTAAACTGTCTATTTTCATCCACCCAAAGTTTTGCAAAAAACAATCAAAGATAAAATATCTTTCTACATTTTGCTTCAAGAATTGGATGTTTTCAATGATGATCTTTTTTTTGATAAAAATTTCTTCTTCAATCGCCAAAAAATGACGGAATAGAAAAACACAAGTTGGTCCCATACAAATAGTCGCATACAAATTGTGAACAATATAAGATTTAAAAATATTGAGTCCTACGAAACTAATAAGACCGATTGGCGAGCCTCAATTGTTGAATTTAAAACAATTTTTTAGTGAGATATTTTCCACGCATAAATAATTAGCGCTACGCTTTCAGCGGCATGAATACTATCTTCGAAATGTGCATAATTTAATCCAGAGCTCGGCCAAATTGCCTATTTCCATCCACCCAGAATTTTGCAAAAAACAATCAAAGAAAAAATATCTTTCTACATTTTGCTTCAAGAATTGGATGTTTTCAATGATGATCGTTTTTTTGATACAAACTTCTTCTTCGATCGCCAAAAAATGACTGAATAAAAAAACACAAGTTGGTCCCATACAAATTGTCGCATACAAATTGTGAACAATATAAGATTTAAAAATTTTGAGTCCTACGAAATTAATACGACCGATTGGCGAGCCTCAATTGTTGAAATTAAAACAATTTTTGAGTGGGATATTTTCCACGCATAAATAATTGGCGCTACGCTTTCAGCGGCATGAATACAATCTTCGAAGTGTGCATAATTTAATCCAGAGCTCGGCCAAATTGCCTATTTCCATCCACCCAGAATTTTGCAAAAAACAATCAAAGATAAAATATCTTTCTACATTTTGCTTCAAGAATTGAATGTTTTCAATGATGATCGTTTTTTTTTATACAAACTTCTTCTTCAATCGCCAAAAAATGACTGAATAAAAAAACACTAGTTGGTCCCATACAAATTGTCGCATACAAATTGTGAACAATATAAGATTTAACAATGTTGAGTCCTACGAAACTAATACGACCGATTGGCGAGCCTCAA